GGCATTAGGAAGGTTGAGAACCGCTGGAGTAGAGGGTGCTATGCCTCTTTCCCCCCCAGTCCTGGTACCATTTGGGCAGCTTCCCTCTCACACACCCACGCCCCCTTCACCTTCTCTGATATTCCCGGCCTTGAGCCTCCAACGCCCCCACGCGTGCCACCACAGGGAGCGGCCAGACAACTGCGTGACGCCTCGAGGGGCGGGGTCTCATTATTAAAAGGCGAGAGAGGCCGCCGCGCCGGCCCCAAGGACCCGGGTCACAAGGAGAGCCAGCTCGCTCTGCACACAACGCCAGCCGCGTTAGCGACGCCCTGGAGTCCGCGGCGGGTACCATGCAGCTTCTGGTGAGGGTGCCGTCTCTTCCGGAACGGGGAGAGCTGGACTGCAATATCTGCTACCGACCCTTCAACCTCGGGCACCGTGCGCCCCGCCGTCTACCCGGAACGGCGCGCGCCCGCTGCGGACACACGCTATGCACCTCTTGCCTGAGCGAGCTGGCAGCGCGCGGCGACCGCAGCGGAGCAGCCGCGCGCGTGGTGCGCCTGCGCCGCGTCGTCACGTGTCCGTTTTGCCGCTCTCCCACTCCGCTTCCGCGCGGCGGGGTCACGGAGATCGCTGTGGACCCGGACTTGTGGTCGCGGTTGGAGGAAAAAGCGCGGGCTGAACGCGAATCAGATGAGGCGGGTATCCCGGTCAGGGAAAGCGGCGACGCCGACCAAGAGGCAGACGAGGAAGAGGAGAGCGATAAGGGGGCGGGGCCGAGGAGCGCGGGGTGGCGCGCGCTCCGGCGGCTCTGGTACAGGGTGCTGGCACCTGCGCGCCGCTGGCGGCGCCCGCTGCCTAGCAACGGTGAGGGGCCGCCCTGGGAGGCTGCGGGGGAAGAGCGCCCCGGAACGCCAGGGTTCCGCCGCATCCTCCTGCTTCTACTAACCCTTCTTCTTTCCCCCAGTGCTGTACTGTCCGGAAATCAAAGACTTTTCCCACATGACCCGCTGTACGTTGTAACCGCGGGATCGGAAAGCTGCGGCTGAAGGAAGGTGGGAGCTGCATTCTCCGGGCGTGCTGGATAGTGTAAGGGGTTTGATGCCAAGACTACCCCCTCTCCCATCCCGGGATTGGCACTGATGAGGAAGTTGAGCCGAGGGCAGGAGGGAACGCCCTGGGAGGTGTTGATGCTGAGCAGGGGAGGCTCCTAGACGAATCGCCCCCATCTGCTGTCAGATTTACATATTCAGGATGAAGTGGGCCAGGGATGATAAAAACAGTCTACGTTCCCGTGGGAAGAAGACAGATCGTTTCCTTAGCTGTGACTTTGGCTTTTGTCCAGGGCAGCTCTGGTGTGTGGGAGCAGCTAGTCTCATTTTAGCAATTGTGTCAGTGGTTTGAAATTTTTTAAAGATGGAGAGAATAGGCTAGTTTTCTTGTCATGTTAATCTCACTTCTCTAGCAAGTAAGAGAGCTAAAAAAATAAGCCTTTATTTTTCCCCCCCCCATTGCTGGTATGCTTACTGTCTTCTGATTCCCAGTACTGTGTTCCTAAAATTGAGATGCATATCTCCTGCCTTGCTTCATTTCAGAATCTCCCTTCAACCCGTTAGGGCAGGTCTCAGAAGGTCCAAAAGGCATTTATCTGAGGCACCTAATTAGAGCTAATCAAAGGTAGAAGGGAGAGTTAAAAGTATCAAATTTTAAACCTTTGATACTGTGTTTTTACAGTCACAGGAAAACGCTGTCACTACTGAAAAAAGATGCCCATCATACAATTTTAAACTTGTGTCCCATAATTGGACATTTATTGTATGCCATGGATTCTATTTTAAAATCCTGTCAATATCTTAAGATAGTATAAAGAACCAGCAGTATCAGCATGAGTGGGGAGCTTGTTGAAAGTGCAAAATTCCAGGATTCCACTTCAGATTTACTGAATCAGAAACTGCATTTTAACAAGAATCCCAGGTGATCCATATGCAACTAAAAATTTAAGCATTGGTCCAGGTCCTAGAGGCCCTAGAATATTATCTATGGGTGGAATATTTAGAATACAAGTGGTATTTAATAAATTATATATACTGTTTTATTGAAGGCTCTAAAGTGACTTTCTGTTGCTCAATAAATCCAAATTCTTTGTGTGCATAGTTTACTTATTGTGTTTCAAGTTAAAAATGTGAACTTAAATATAAACCCCAATTTTTTTAAACTGTATTTTGGCTTTTTCCTGTCCCTAAGGTCTCAGCTTAAATGTTTCCTTTTTTGGGAGGCCTTTCTCAGCATTCAACCTGGTGTAGCCCCTTCCCTTACCCTCTGTAGCATACTGCCTTTTTATTTTCACTGTTTTTATTTTCAGATAGTATATGCTTTATTGGTGTCCCTTACTAGAGTGTAAACTCCATGAAAGCAATGACTGAGTTATGACTGTTCTCTCTCCAGGGCCAACAGCAGTATTAATGTATATACTCAATAAATGTTAACTGGATATTTCATTTTTTAATAGCATCAAAAATTAAGTGGTCTCTCTCAATCTCTGATCAGCCCTAGTAGTGAACAATGCATGTCAAGTATTTAGCAGTTCAAATATTTGGCAAGCTATGGAGGTCTGACCCCTACCCTTCAACTCCATAAAAAAAAAACAAAAAACTGTGCATTTCTGCACATTTGGAACTGAATCTGTAGAGCTGTAGTGACCTCTACTGACTCTTGGGGGAACTAAGCAACTGGAAGGTGGAAAGGATATCAAAAGGATGAAGGGAAGGCAGTTCTGAATCTCTCCAGGCACCCCTCCCACTGCTTGTCCAGTAAGCCCTGCCTTCTCTCTGATCTCAGCCTGAGGTACCCTGTGTAGGTACCCTGCTGCTCACCCTCCATCTCTAAACTGAGCTCATCACATTGGGGTTGGAAAAAAAGCCTCAGAGTTTTAGTCTATGATCCAAGAAATAAAAATGAGAAAAAGGTAAAGTCACAAGATTTTCAAAAGGAAAAAGATGGATAATATGAAATGGCAGAAAGCAACACCCTTTCCTTCCTTATCCCTCCCCCCAAAGAACTCCTCCACTCAAAAACAACAGAGCACACAGAAAGGAAAGTATAATTTATATGTACAACCAATAAACCTGATACAGAAGAGGGGGATTGGGACAGGCCAGGAGTGGGTGTGAAGAGAGACTGGGAAAGGGGCAGCAAGAAAGTGAAGGGGCAGCAAAGAGGAAGTGGGGGGTTCGCCATGCAAACTGCCACTCTCCTCAGCCCCTCCTGGGGAGGAGGGTGTGCCCATGTCTTCCCAGCTTGCCCTCCACTATTTTGCTCTGGTCCCAAAGGCAAGGTAGTCCCTTGACTAGGCCCCCTGCCAGACCCACTCAAATTTAGTCAGTATTCAGGCCTTCAGGAGGGAGGGAAGTTCTCCAAGATCCTGGGCCCCAAGGACAGATTGGGGAGCTCCTCTTTGGCTCGAGGGAGTATTGCTCAACCATTACTCTCTTTGTAGGGGTGGTCCTTGGTCCCTAGGGAAGGGGGAAGATGCCCAACACAAGATGCCAGTACGCGGGAGGTAACTGAGCCAGTGAACGCGCCTTTATTCTGAGGCTGAACAGCAATTGACTCCCTCCCTTGTAACTGCTACATCCTCCATTTGGGGAGAGGTAGGGGAAGGAAACATGCAGCCACCCCTCCACTTCCCTTCCTCCCTCCCAGGGCTCATTGTCATCCCTATCTAAAGTCCCCCTCCTCTCTTCAAAACTCTTTTCCCCACCAGTTTCTAAAGGCCAGGCAATGCTAATTCCCCACTTCTGCATGAGATGGAGCGTACATTGCAGGAATAAAGACGGGATGCTCCACTTCTTTCCTCCCTACAACCATTTATTGGGAAGCTGTGTGTTTGGCAGTGGGGAATAAAGGTATTTGGAAGACCCTGCTAACCATCTCCCACCCAGACCTCTTTCTCACCAGCAGTCTTCAAAGCAAGGTGGGAAAGGTGTGCGGTAGTGGAGAAAGACAAAGGGCCCTTGAAGAGAGGAGTTGTTGAGAGAGGCAAAGGGGCTCCTAGCCCAGTGGTGGCCCAAGGGGTGGGGAAGGCGGAGGACTGGCAGCAGGCCCCAGAGCCTGAGCTGGGGGTCGGCCTCTGGCACGGGGCCTGGGTGAAGGGCACGCCTGGGATCCAGTCAGTCGTCTATACAGATCACCTCCCCGGCTCGGGGCTCCTTCCGATCCAGCCCGTCTGACACCAATGCTCCCACCATTTCCTTCTCCTTCTTCACCAGCACTGGAGGGCCATTGGTGGCGGCTGTTCGGGAAGGGGGTAAGGAAGGGTCAATCCCTACTTCACTCCCAAACATCACTTTCCAACAATAGTATGTCCTCAATTTTAGGTCACCTCATATCACTTCTGATTGTCCAAGGTAGGGGTGGGAAAACCAGGGTGAACCCCTCTCCCTGAGATTCTCCTCCTTGTGCCACATGATGGAACACATGTTCCAACTCTCACCATACCCCCTTCTCATTCCATATTCTCTTTCCCTGAAATAACTCTGACGGAGGCGGCTCAGGTAAGAAGTACTAAGCTGCAGAAGCACTGAAACCCTGGATAAGGTTTCTGATGATGGGAATGGAAGAGAAGTTAAGAAAGGGGTGGGAAGAACAAAGCCCAGAATAACTCCATTTCCTTGGGGTACCTCCAAGCAAATGAGATAGGCTGGAGCAGTAAAAGGGTAGCTCAGCAGGGATGAAGCTTGGAAAAGGAGGAATGGGAAGAAGTCATCAGCTGACCTGTGATGAAGGACCCTGCAGGCATCTGGCTGTAATTGGCGCCTGCGGCGGCCAGGGCCCCTACGGGAGCGGCGCTGAAGGCTGCCCCGTACCCCGGAGGTGTAGCGTAGGGACCCGGGGGGAAGGCCTGGAATAGAGAGCAAGCCCAAGTTAGAGGGTCCAGAGTCTGAAAGGAAAGCAGCTGTAGGGGAAATGTTATAGGCCAAACTCTAGAACTACTGAGGGGTATAACATACAGGCATGGAGATTCAGGGTGATGAGTGTGATAGAGCAAGTCATTTTTCTATATTGTACAGGATTGGATGGAAGTATCTATGTGTGTGCAGGAGGAGTACCAACAGGGAAATGGAATTAGAGGGAAAGGGGGTTACCGGTGTGGGATGAGGTTCTGTGCCCTTGCTGGCCAGCCGGCTGAGGATGCTGCGCTCGGACATCTGAAGGCGGGCTGCGATGGGGGGTATTCGGGACAGCGTGGCTGGCAGGCGGGTCACGTCTGCCTTCATGTCGCTCAACAACTCCTCCAGCTGGTTCAGAACTGGGGCCCGGGCCACGGAGAAAGAAGGACAAGAGAAAGACAGGGAAAGGAAGAGATGGAGCCAGGAAAAGAGACGAGGAGTCAGATGGACAGATAGTCAGAAAAAGTGAGTGAGAGAAGGACACAGATGTCAAAGAGCCAGAAGAGAAGAAAATGACAAGTAGACAGAAAAAGAGAGCAACTCAGGGGTGAGGGTGGTGGGTGGAAGTAAGTGTCAGGTAAAGAGGCAGAGAGATCGGATCACCAGAGAGAGAGAGATGGAGAGAGAAGAAAGGAAAAAGGAATACGGAGAAAAAGGAGATAGAGGACATTGGAAGACATGGGGGCGGGGAGTTGTCAGAACATCCCATACTGGAAGAGTGATGTTTTGGGGTTGGGGATGATGGGGAGGAAATAGTCAGGAGGCATGGGAGGTGGTAAGTGGTGTCAAAGACTTGAGGGTCAAGGCTTTAATAAGTAACTGGGGAGGGAGGTTAGAGGGTCAGCATTACAGATTCAAGGAATTAGAATAGGAATCAAAGGGGCCAGGAGTCAGTCAGTCACTACATCACACAAGACTAGATGGTTAGAGGGCTTTGGAATTTAATCTATTATTTTCAAGGTAGGAGGGTTTGGGAAGAAGGGTTGAAGGTCAAAGGGAAGTTTCATGGAGCAGGGTCAGAGGGTGGGACGGTGGTAGTTTCTGCCTCATGAAGTGAATGAGATGTGAAGAATGTGATTTGTGGGATTGGGGGTAAGGATTTTTGTAGACTGTACACAGGCCAAGGCCCTGGAGAGGGTGCTATTAGCATTATGGCAGGAGTATGGGTCAGCGAAGAAGTTCTGCCCTGTGGAGGGGACATGGCACAGTCTCATGGAGTTTTGGGAGGAAAAGTCCCTCTATTAGGCACTGATGTGAATGCTATTAGGCATGGGCGAGAGCTGGCTGCACAAGTCCTAGAGGCTAAAAACCAAGAGGGTGCCACGTGGGTCAGAGGTGGGGCTAGAGGTCAGAGGGGGTTGGTTCAGAGGGTAAAGGGTTCAGAAGGGTGGGGAGATTTTGAGGGGTGCGGGGTGAAGACTTACGCAGCGTTGTGGGCCCTCCCCCGCGCGGGGCCGCCGCGGCCCTTACCCTTGTGCAGTACGGCGTTGGCTGGCTTGTTCCCTGCCAGCGACTCCTTGGAGAGGTGCTGGTGGCTCTCGGCCAGGCACTCGGCCTCGGCAAAGCGGGCGTGGAGGGCCATGGCGGGGTGCGCCGGCTCCTGGGAGAGGTTCAGATAGGCCGCCCGCCGAAGCTGCTCCTCAATCACCAGCGCCTGCTCCAGGAGCTGAGGGCATGGGGAGGAGGTTAGTGCACGGATCTGCCAGCAGTGGGCGAATGGATGGGGTCCAGGTGTAACACTGGAGACCCACACTGCCCTCACTGCTGGTCCAGGGCACCCCCAGCTCCCCACAAATACTGACTGTGATCCCAGCACTGACCCAAACACAGGACCACAGTTCCAAACAGGTTACACTCTGGTCTTGGCCTCAGGTGTCGCCACCACCCTCAAGGTATTGACCTTCCCTATAATCCAACCAGATCTGGTCCCACCTCTCACCCAAGCCCCTCTTCATCAGGATTGTTTCTTTCATCCCTCATCCTCACCTTGAATCTCCGGGCCAGAAACTTATTTTTCATCTCCAGAAAGTTCCCCTTATTGGCTTCAGTTTTAAATGGCTCATTGATAATGGCAAACTGAGCATCATTCTGGATGTCCTGCCACCGTGCATAGCCATGGCTGCCGATGAAGGAAGGGGACCATCAAGGAATTTAACAGGGACGGGCTGGACTGTGAACACGACTTCCTTCTGGCCTGATCTCCCCAAAGTGTGGCACTATTCCCCCTTCTCTGCGTGTGGGCTTCTTCTCTGTAATTCCCCTCTCTCCAGGTTAAGAGAACCTTTTTTTCCCCTTGTATTTGTATTAAAGGATACAGGACAATCCCAGCCAGAAGCCAATAGTCATGTCTTCGGTGCCAGATCTCATTGAGTTTCCCCGAGGAAATGGCTGCCCGTTCCTCATTCTGCCACAGTGTGTGAAGCTCTGAAAAGAAAATGGAAGACAGATGAGCCATCAGGAGTTTTTAAACTACATCTAACCCAACATACAGGTATGGATGAGGGGACTGAATAGTGGTAAAGGACTAAGGGCTCTTTAAGGTGAACAGGGCAAGGTTAGGTTAGGGATAACAGTAGTTACAAAAAAGGTTCCAGTTAGGATTAAGAATAAAGGTAGAATTAAAGACAACTTCGGAGTTAGGAGTACACTTAAGGAGGGCAGAGGGCAAGGAGCAGAGACAGCATTGTACCATTTCATTGGCAGTTACTTGGAATTAAAGGTAGCAGGAAGCCTCAGGCAAAACGAGAAACCCCATGAAGATGAGCAAATCCCAGAGAGGAGCAGGTGGCAGTGAGAGACCCCTTCCCACCTGTGAAGCCACCATCTGCGATATTAAACATGAACCGCGGCTTCTCTGCCTTCTCCTCACGTCGCCCATTGGACCGTGGCTCGTCTCGAGGAGGACCAGGTCGAAGCTCCCGGTCCCCTTTTACATCTTCTGCTAGGGCAGATGGGGCAGAGCTCATATCTCAGGACAGTCTCCTCCCAGGTCCCAAGACCACGCCCTGTACTGTACTGGCCCTTGGAATAGCTACCCACCCAGGACCCAGGCAGTTGGTCCCCGAGACTCCACCTCCCCCGATTCCCTCAGGGACCCAGGGTCCAGTCCTTCCACCCATTACCTCTCTTGCCCAAATCCCCTGTTTCCCCCTCCGGCCTCTCCCTGTGTTCCTGTCCATCCAACGGCTTCTCCTCCCCCCTCTCTCCTGGCGTCGACTCTGTGGCTGTGGGAGGGGGTAGGGGACAGGAGGGAGGATGTCACCCTCATTCCCTGATCCCAGAAGAGGGCACCCCCAAATTCTAAGCCCATCACCCCCTAAGTCCATGCACCCACCTGACTTCTCTCTGTCCCCCCGGTACCCAGGTTCAGGCTCCATCTCTCCAGGTGCCCCTGGCACCTCATCCTCTAGAGGAATCTTCCTTGGCTCTAGTCGCTCTCCGAATGATGGGGCTGGGCTGGGGGTATCAGCCTGGCAGAGAACAAATGGGTGGGGATGAACTGGAGGGCTCCTAGACACCTAACTTCCAAGACTCCCCAGTCCCTCCCCTCAGGGGAACCAAGTAGCCACACACCTC